CTTTCCTGTTTTTATTCCTCCTCTTCCTGTAACAGAGAATCCACATTCTCCTCCTCTGCAGATATGCATGTTACGTGCTTCCAGTCTATTTGCTGCATGGAAAAGAATAATTTTAGGTAGAGAGCTTCGGTGAGACAAAGAGAAAATTCTCATATCTCTTGAGATGGGAATCTCTGAGATGAGGATTTTCCCAGGCTTCTACCTGTGTGAATTGCCACTCGTGGTGCAATGTTGGTTCTTGCATGCTGCCTCGGCTCCTTGGGCCTGGCTCTTTCTCATGACATTCTCAGTCCATTCAAAACCAGATTAATCCGGTGGATGCCAAAATAAATGACACCACATCTACAAATCTTCCTCCCTGTAAGATGTTCAGTGATATAAATTGATTCAGTGCTTTAAATATCACCAGCACATTAATTCCAAAAGCAGTTAAATGAGGACCAGTGGAGGTGCACTTTGTGAGAAGTTCATGTTTTTGCAAGACTGTCTCAGCTAAAGGGTTTGTTGTTTTCTTGGGTTTTTTCCTTAAAGAAAAATCACAGATAATTCCTGCTCAATCACAGTTAAGATCCCCAAGAACAAGGGAGATTAGAAAAGATGTACCAAAACACTTTATACATTTCTGCTAACTAATATAAGTCCTGGTATTCTTAACATTTTATGACCAAATAGGGTAATTAGCCTAACCTGGAAAGTAAAATGTGACTACTAGTTGCCCAGCTTTGTAAACTGGTTTGTGAAGCAATGGCTTTAATTGTATTATGTTTTTGTGTTGAACTTGTGTGCTGAGCTATTATTTTCTGCAGTTTCATTTTAAACTGGCTTTTTGTTCTTCTCCAGCTTAGTTAACAAAACTCCTGGAAAATGGCTACATAACCTCTACCCCTATTCTCTGCATGAGTCAAAAGCTGCCCATGCTTGTGTTGGGTTAACTCCATGCCAAGAAATGTAATAGGGTTACGTATTGGAGAAATGCAATTTGATTAAGTAAAACCAAGAGAAAATCAGACTTTTAAAGAGAGCAAATGTGGCTTCAACTATTGACAAGTGTCTATTGGATGCATTTTATTATTTTCTTCTGAAAATAATCAGTTTTCTTCAGCTTGGATGATGGATGCTCTCTATATTTATAAAAATTKTGGATCCCTAATTGTGAATGCTTGTTAGTGAGGCACATCCAAAAGTCAGCCAGGTGTTGGTCAGGATGTTTTATTTCAGGAAAAGGATTGAGCTCTAGGACCCCCTAGGCTCTAGCTCATTTTCAGTATGAAGTTTTGGGTAGGAGGTGTGATGCACTGGTTTTGGGAGACTCCTGGTGTCTTAGCTTGTATTAAGTCTGTATTTAGCTAATAAAAAACAAACCAAAAAAACACCCCAGAATTCTTTAAACCAAAATTTAATTTATGGTGAGATGGTTTGGCTGCCTTGGTACAGCTGTGGTGTCTCCAGGACCCCAGTAACCTTGTTTTGATAGACTCCTATAAGGCAAGTGATGCAATTCAATGATTATTAATTCTGAAGGAGAACACCCTTTTGCTTTAATTCAAGTCACTTAACACCAAGTGCATGTTTTACCTCGAAAAAGGGAAGTAGAAATGTTATTCTAAAGAGAGAAACTGTTCATAATATACACATTTAGTCATCTTAAAAGGGATGTAAGGTTAGTCAGCTCTTTGCACTGTGTTGTTTGGCTGCCAGATCCAAAAGGCAAGTGGAACAATCAAGGGTTTAGTTATATAAATATGAAACTGTAGAGTAGGAGGTTGTCTTCAGAGCTGTTTCCTATAACCTATAATTGGGTCTCCAAGGAAGTGTAAATTATGCTTGCAGCTTGAGCTATAGTTAATGCTCTCTGAGAATAATTATTCTGATGGCTGGTGGAGGAAAAAGAGCAGAGAAATAGGTGCAGCATGTGGACAGCAAGTACAAATGTGGTGTGTGTGGTAGCTCCGCTGTTTGTTTCTTTATGCTAATCCATTTCTCATGATAATAATAAGTAAATTATCTGCCTTGATTTATTTCTGAGACTGCCACCTGGAGGGTTCCTTCTGTTTAAACCTGACCAGACTGGAAGACCTTGAAACAAAACTGAGCAGTGGCTTTTCATGCGTTTGGTATCTTTGAGTGGTGGAGGGGTGATGGGTGGCATTTGCAGAGGTGATTACTGTGAAGGATCCAGATCACTTACAAATGGATTTGCTGCAATGGAGTAAAAACATGAAAGCACTCAGAAATTCTAGTTTTTGCTTTATTTGTGCTTCTACAAAGGGACAATGCAGTGTCCGATGCAGGGTGGCAGCTTCCATTAACAGAAAAAATGCTGTGAGATGTGGGGAGCTGGGGCTTGAGCAGTGTAAGGCAAAAGCTTGATGTTTTCCTGAATGCTGATTTTGGATATCCCAGGAGTGGAGTTGGGGTGCCCAGACTGGGCTTCTGCGCCTGAATAATGGACCTACTGCCTCTGAATTTCCTTTTTCCCAACCCTGTATTGAGTTACTCTTGCTGATACGAGTGCAAGAATGGGAATAAATGTGATGGCTTGTGAAAAAGGGCTGCAAACTAACTCAGCAGAGGAAATTCTGCTGCTGAAACTTTTTGGGGCTCAGAGGTGCCTGTAATTAAACAGCCACACAGACAGTTACACATCTCCTTCTGGTGCTGGTGCCTTTTGTGGGGGTGTTCAGGTGCACAAATCCCTGTGGATGGGAGTTAAAGGGGTACTGGGGCCCTGGAAGGATGCAGGTGTAGTAGTGCTCCTGCACATCCGTGACACTTTGTGGTCTCCAGTGATCCTTCAGGACCAGCTGGTAACTCAAACACACAGAGAACAGCTTAAATGTGGTTTTACCTACATATAATTCTGAATCAGAAGTTTATTCTGTGTACCACAATGAAACGGCTTAAACCCAATATTGGGATCCTTGCTAACCTTTCTAAATTTGTGGTCATCTSTAGCAGTGACAGGTGATGTCATAAATAACAATTTCAAGTGCTAGACAGCAGGAGGCAATAAACTTCTAAAGGATAATTCATGCAAATGTTCCTACCTCCTTCTACCAATTTAATTGCCATGCAAAAATAGAATGTGTCAGCATCTCTCTCGGCTTTTTGCCACTTCTAGGGGTTTTGATATCAATCATGGCCTCCTTTTAGGCATCACAACAGTACCATAGCTGAATTTGGCTCCTGGTCTCTTAATGTGTAAGCTGTTGCTTGAGCTCTGTAATTCCTTGCTGAGTTGCTGCTTAGCTCCAGAAATTGCATCATTTTCCTATGTGCAAACAGGGAGTCTCCAGGGCTTCTCACTACCCTTCCCTTCACCCACAGTACTGTGGTGATGTAGTATTTAAATGAGCTGTCTGCAAAGTGCAGGTTCTTAAAACAGATTAACAGCATTGTTTGGAGACAGTGGTGAGACAGAAGGGCAGAAAAATATTTAGGGAATGGTCTGCAAAAAGAACTGGGAGTGAAAATAGAATTGTAAGACCTGCTGCTCCCTGGATCTGGAAATGCTCTTCCCTTTCCTTCTGCTCCAGTCTTTTCTGAGGATTCAGTGGAGGCCCAGGCAAGAAAGGAAGTAGGACACTGCTATTTGTTTTGACTCTGGGATTTTTATTCAGGAAAAATACAACCAAGGCAGGCTTTCAGAGGCCCGAATGAATTTGAGAGGCAAGGGCAAGAAAGAAGGCAAAAGGAAGAAAACTCTGCACCTTGTGGTGGCTCTGTGCACCTTTCTGCCCTGCAGCAGCCCAGTACATCTTCCTTCCCTGCTGATTCTTCAGCATTCCTGGCCAAGGAAGAGGGAGCAGCCCCAGGTAGCCTGTGAGAGGTGCCGTGACGCTGCCTGATTGCTGGGAATTCCTGAAAGTGCAGTTCTTACCACCCACCTGTCCCCTAACACAGGCGACTCTCTGGGCAGCTCTCTGGCTCTTTATCCAGAGCCCAGGTAAGGGGTTTCCAGCAAAATGTGCCATACGGGTGGTTTGCACTCTGAGCACAGTGTGGTGCACTCGCTTTGTGCTGCGGTTTGTAAATATCTATGTAAGGTTTGCTTAATTTCAGGTTAATTGCTCCACAAACCATTTTATAGTGTGTTTATTATGCTAAGCTAGCTTTTGATTCTTTGGGGAATTCATATTGAAAAAGGTTGGGCATTTCCAGAGACCACAGGTTTTTATTAAGTGGAAAAGGTATCAAATAACAAGCCAAATTAGCTGAACAAGTGTGATCCCCAAATCCACCACACTCAGGCAATCCCTCTTTTAGCAAGATAAAAGTCTGTCTCCTGTGCTTTTAATAAAGTTTTAGATACAGAGTTCGGTATTGGTGTTTTTGATTAGCCTGCCTATGAGTCGGAAGTTGCTTCCAATACTCCATTGCTGTGATGTGCCGTTATTTTTTTCTGTTAAATGTTGTGCTCTTTTTTAATTTTTTTTTAATTAAGTTAGGGACTCTGCATGTCTTATGTTCATCTTCAGGGAGTTTTAGATTTGAAATCACTATAATTTCCAGTTATTTGGATATTTAGGACACAGTGTGACATTTACACAAAGTTGTACTTGGTGGTCTGTGGAAGTCAGTCTAAAACAAAGCTCTGACCTGTGCACCTTGCTCCATGTGTGTCTCTGGAACAACACTGATTTCAGTAGCATTACTTGTAGCTAAAACCTGGGAGAAAATTGTGCTGTGGCATCACTTTTAGGTACCCCTTTATATGAATCAGTCTTAATATCATTTCCCTTTGAACTGTTGATTGCATTTCTCAATATATATAAGGGAGGCTTTTGTACAGAACTGAAATCCATGTGTGATTTATGTGTTCTTGGCATGAAAATAATTGAAGTTCTCTTTAACTTGGTTTTTTTTTTTTTTTTTTTTTAATTTAAGAACACTAACAAGATGGTCTTGCTCCTTATCAAATGAATGCATTCTAGTTACACTGTATTCTATACTTCACTGGTTCGTAGCAAATTAACAGAATTTAAAGCTCACACGAACGTGCCTGAGGCCATTCCATGAAGTATCATTCAACTGGTATAATTTGAAGTAACATTCTGCACTGAGTAGTGTTGCAAGTGGTAACTTCAATAGTGACTTTTCTTTACGTTGTGTACTGTGTCAATAGAAGTTGTGTAGTCTGTCAATAGAAGTCCTGGGGATGACAAAGCCCCGTGCCTTTGTTTCACGGTAAATTAGCTGTTCCCAGAAATGTTTGGTGTGTGCTCACCCATCTGGCCTGTAAATGAGAGCGTAACTGTGAGACTTGGGGGTTCCTCACTTCACAAAGGAACCTGTTGGCTATTTCCCTTTGGGTCAATTTGCAGGGTGTTCTGTGGTCTCCTAGGGAGGTTTTCTTCAGTGTTAGCCTGATCAAGAACTGGCAATGCTCTTAGGGGAGAAAGAAACTGGTTCCAAGGGCTCAGGGCGGCTCTGTGAAGTCCAGAGCTGATTTCCTATTGACTGCACGGAGAATTGGAGCGTCTCCCGTGAGAATTAGCTGAGTAGCTGCTCACAGAGCAGACCTTATCACTCGGAATATATCTGTCTCTATTCCTGCTGCTGTTCTAACCCTGTCACTTTGTGCAGCGCTGTCAGGGAAACCTGAGAACTGTTTGAGCTCCCAGGAATTAGCGCTGCAATTCGCCAGCGCTTGTAGTTAGCAGCGTTTACAAGGGGTAGGAGGGCGCTGCTGCTGTGTCAGACACAGCTCGTGTGCCCGGCTGCTGCTTCCACAGCCTCCGGAGAGCTGAGCTGCTCCTCAGAGCCTCACACGGTGAGGTTCGGGAGAGCATGGAGAGATTTGGGAGCCACTAACACAAAAGAGTTGTGTTGTGCTAGGGTGTAACGTGTGAGGATGCGATCAGCTACGAATACTGTATGCAATTCAAGATACCTTTTCAGCTGCGCTCCTTACATGAAGGATGGAACTTAGAGGACCTTAGAGGAAGTGTTTAAAAGACATCTCCAGCTCTCTGCCTTCATCAGATAATTTTTTAGCACGTCTGTAACTCCTGCCAGCCAACACCCTTAAAAAAGACAATTTACACACCTGAGCAGAGCACTGGGAATTGCTGGTGGTGCCCTTTTCCCTGAGGGGAATTGTGACTGAGTAGCACGGTCACCTGCGGGTACAGCCTGCCCCTTCTCGTGTCTCCTGAGCACTCAGGGCTGTGTGAATGCACAGCTGAACGAGTGGTTTAGGTATCATAGTCTGCTACCCCCAAATCATAGTTCTGTTGTAAATGCAACCTTGAAAAATAGAGAAAAAAAAATGCTTTTCTTTTATACAAGATTTGGGCTAAAATGAGGTAAACCTTGTGGGACTGGTTCTTAGTAAAGGATGCTCATCAAAGGAGATGTACCAGAGCTCAAGGATTTCTTCAGAGCAGTTATGAATGGAAGTGAACGCGTTCAGAGATCTGCCTGCGCAGTGCTTTTGTCAGGAGTGGCAATGTGGTAATATTCTGGGGTCTGTGTGTCCCTGTCAGTGTAAAATGCTGCTGTTCAAGTTATGGAGCCACATCCCAAGGGATGGGTGATACCGAGCATCTGGAAAGAGTCTCTGATAATGGTCAGCTGTGAATAGACAGTTTAAGGTTTAATTCCCTTACAGGCCACTCAGTTTTACTTATCTGTAAGCCAGGTAAGAATTTGGACATGCAGATATCATCAATAAACACTGAAAAAAGTCAGCTGAACTATGGTGTTTTTCTAGGAATTTGGTTGCTTTGTTTTTCTGTTCTGTGCATTGAACTAGATCTAGCCACTCAAGGCTTGAAGAATGCCTTTGTTTCCTGGAACTGCCCATGTGATAGAAAAAAAGCCACAATACTGAAGTGTGGTTTATATAATTTCCTGGTTCACATGGCTGGTGTGCATTGTTTTATTTGTGGTGGTTTAGATTTTTTTTTCTTAATTTCAGGTATCATTTCCTGTCCTGTGTGCAAACAGACCTGCTTTGCAAGGGATATAGTTGAGAATTTCTTCCTCAAGGACTTTCCCACTGGTGATTCAGCTATGGCAAGGGTAAGTGAAAGCCACCAAGTTGTGGGTTGTTGAAACACTACCAGATGAACACTGAAAACAGAGCCAATCTCGTTTTGAACAACAGATTCTGTCATAGTTTGCTTATGCAGCACTGTAATTACTTCATTAGCAGAGATGGACATGCTGCCTTCATAGTACTTTTAAAAATTTAGGAGAATAATGAGTTTTACACTCTTTATTTTTAATAGTCCATTAAAAATATTGATTCTAGTGTGTCTGTGATAATCAATATATTAGGAAGGTACTGAATCTGTGGGAGTCCTCATTGTCTCCTCTCTGCTCTCAACACAAAGTAAACAATCACAGAATTTTTAGGATTGGAAGGGATCTTTGGAGCTCATCCAGTCAAAGTCCCCCACCAAGAAAAGTTATCTGGAGCAGGTGGCACAGGAACACATTCAGGTGGGTTTGGAATGGCTGCAGAGAGGGAGACTCCATGATTTCCCTGGGCAGCTGCCCCAGTGCTGACACCCCCAGTGTGAAGCTTTTCTTCCTTTTTAGCTGTAATTTCTTGTGGTTTAATTTGCTCCTCCTCCTGTCACTGGGAACCACTGAAAAGAGTCTGGCACCATCCTTGGGTGGAGAGGAGGGGCAGACAAAGTTGGGTATTGTTAAAAAGTGAAAAATATGTAACCTAATCCATAGTGTTCTGGGGAAATTAAATAAAAAAAATTAAGGCAAACAAAGTGTGGGTACATCTTCAGGTACACATTGCTTGTAGGGTGCAATATAACTCGATCTAAAACAAGAAGAGGTGTATTCATAAGCACTCTCCAAAGAGAAAAAGAAAATTCCTAAGATACTGCTGAGTGTTTAAAATGCATTTATTATACTGGGATTTCTTAATTACTGTGACTCGCACCATTTACTTTTCAATGAGGATTTGTGTAAAAAGGAACTCAAATGAGAATATCTAATGCCTTCAAAAGCACTAGATTATTTTTTTCAAACCATCTTTAAAGGAAGGTTTTTCTTTTCTGCAGTCCCTCAGGAGTGCTAAGAGCAGTTCAGCAATGCAGATTTCTCTCTGGAGCATATGAGTACCCTAAAGCAACTTGTGAACCTCCGTAGCTTTTGGCTTCCTTTTTGTTAAGTCAAGCCATGTAACTTTGCTTGCTTTCTCTCTTCTACCACTCCCATCACAGCCCAAATTAAAGCCACAGTTTCACCATCAGTGACATCAAAAGGAGGAGCACCAGATCATCTGGCTGAGATGCAGCTGAGCTGCCATCACTGCCTTAATTTTCCAAATATGTTCAAATGAGAATCTGTCAAGGCTTGTAACGAAGTGTTTGGAGGCAAAGATGTCTCTGAGTGTGTGAGAGAATGCAGCATGAATGATAGAATGTGCTACACGCCAGCAGCAGGAGTTTCAAAAATACGCAGTTCAGAATCTCTTGCCCAAAATCCCATTTCCACATCGTAAATAATGTAACTCTGGGAAGACTCTGCAGCTTGAAAATAATGTTAACAGAGTGCAGTGTCAATATAAATTCCAGTCAGACTGACAGCTGAACTGTTGCAGGTAAACCTGTGTTTAAGCAGTTTTGGTTATGGCAGAAAAAGCAAAGCATCCCTTAACTTTTTACCTAATCCCTAAGCTGGACTTAGACACTTCTTTTTCTATAGGTTAGACACTTCTTTTTCTATAACAGGCTTTGTTCCCTAAATTAAATATCCTCGTATTTTGGCTATGTAAGTTTTATGAGGCTTTTTGGTTTCAATTGTCATATTTACCTTTTGGAAAACACTGCTGATGAGCAAATGGCTAAAATGGTAGAATGACTTGCACAAACAATTCCCTCTTTAGACAATTAAACATTTAAAACTTTGCTTTGTTGTCTTATTGTTGAGTATTGCCCAAGCTGTTTGAGAAAGATTGTGAATGTTTAGAAACTCTGGAATAGTGACTTGATAAGAGAGCTGTTGTGAAATGCCAGAACCACTGAAGGGAATGATAAAATTTAAATTAATTTCAGCAGAACAAAACTTTTCTTTTTGTGCTGAAGTGAGTCAGAGCTTGGCTCCCTTGTGTCTCAGAGCCTTAAGAGCTTTAAAATAAGGTGTTTTATGCCTGGAGCAAATCCTTTTTAAAAGAATTATCATTACAGCTATCTTGAAATTACTGTTGAGTTCATTCTGGACACCAAAAGTTGAAATACTCACTTCATTTATGTGCTGATCTTTTAATTTCCCCCTTTGTGACATGTCCAGACAACATAACCTGTATAACAAAGGGCATTCCCTAAATTTTTTAATCAATAGAGAGAATACTTAGTTAGGGTTTCCAGTTCTTATGCTCCTGTGTTTTATGTTTCCATTTCACCATGTGTGATACAAAGATATAAATTGAACTTATTTCTGGTCAACTCTTTAGAGAATAGGAACTAAGGTTTTCATTAATAATATGTGGGTGAACCATGCTGTTTTCTAAATCATCTCACCATCAGGATGTTTTATGTACTTTTTTAACAGTTAGGCAGTTACAAACATACTCTTAAAATAACTTTAATTTCTTTAGTCTAAGGACAAAAAAGCGCTAAGTTTAGCAACCTGAATCGTAGTGCGTCAAAGATAAGAGTTTGTACAGCTGATTGGTGGATGTAATTGCACTTTTTGTTCCTAGAGCTGCTCCCTGTGCCAAGAGAAGAGAGCTGCCCACAGCCTCTGTACGAGGTGCAATAAGTGGCTGTGCAGCTCATGTACAGAGGAGCACAGACACGGCAAGGAGCCTGGAGACCTCTTCCTGGCTGTATCCCTGAAAGGCTGCTCAGGTACTGGGGACATTCAGGAATTGTGTTTCTTCTCAGATCACTTATTCACTTGCAAAAGGAGCAATTGCAGGCTCTGTGTCACACATACCGTGCTCTGACTCAGAGGGATATTCTTGTGTCAATGAGAGATTATGTGGTTCTCCCCCAACTTCAAAGTCATTGTCACAATCAGCATTCCACAGTATTGGAAAAAAGCGTGGATATTTGTGATACACAGGTAGGGTATTCTCCACATCCCTTTCCAAGCTGTGGAGCGATGGGACAGCATTAGGAAGGCTCCAGCAGCAATACCCTTGCAGTATTTCTGTCCCCCTTTGGGTGATCTCACTGAGGAAATGAGGATAAAGCAATTCCTGTGCACATGGACAAGGTGTGTGATGGACTCAGACAGCAGAAGGATGTGATCACTGCAGGATGTTCTTTCTCTAAGCCTGGAGTGAGAAATGTCTTCTGAACATCTATTGCCATGAGCAAGCACAAATGGAGCCCACTGGGAAGTGTCTCATCCCTATGCAATGGTGATGCACAGATTATTGCCATCTCCCATTACTGCTCATTATTTTCTTTATTCATGTGCCAGAAATCTGCTGCATGCTGCAGCGTCTGGAATAATTTTAAAATAAGAATTTGTGCTGCACACTCATTCTTTTTTATAAGGAAGACAGACAGAAAAAGGAATAAAAACTGCCCACTGATTATTCTTTTTATTTGACTTTCTTTTCTTTAGGATTTTTCTTATGGAAGTCTTGTGGAAGCCTATACTTTAGACTTGCCATAGATGGAATTCTTTTAAGTACTGGGTGGTCTTATCAAAACAGAATTTGAGGCACTTGAAACGAAATATGCCATTGCCAAATAGAGTGTAAACAAAAGAAGTCCATAAGAATGGTAATAATTAAAAAAAACCACAGATTACATATAAATGTTTATTGGGGCTTTTCTAGAGAATAATATAAACTGAAGTGCCCCAGTCTCTCCTCAAATGTCCTGATTGGGTGGGCAGTATGTTTTTCTTCTTGAACTGATGACAAGATAAGGACTGTGGTTTTGAGGCTCCAACTCTTCATAATTTCATGTCACTTTAGCTAAGATTACCAGCTTATATTGTTGACAAATACTGGTAAGAAAATAGATGTGTGGCTTGGTTGTGGGTTTGTGTGTGCGATGTAAATAAAAAGATGCAGACGCATAAAAAGATGAGAAAGAATTTTAATTTAGTACAAAATTCTGTGTGTTGAGAAAAACACAAACAAGGAGGTTGGCAGTTTATATATAGACTAGTTAACATAAAAATTATTTGGAATGTAATTTGTTCTTTATTATTATTATTATTAATAATAATAATAATATATGTTTTATCTCCTTTGGACATCCCTTTAGAATAGCTCAAAGAAAGCAAATGCTAGCACATAGTAGAACTCAGACTGGTAGTTCTGGGTTTTTTTTTCTCTTTGCTACACTATTGTTTTCTTTCAGAATCTCAAGGTGAAGTATGAACCTATAAAGCCAACTTTGAGTCACTGAGAATTATGCAGGTGGAGAGAGAGCCCTATTAGCTGAGATGAGATTGCTTTTCCAAAGTTGACATCAGCTGGGCAGAGGAACAGAGATTTAAAACTTTCTGTTAATTATTCAAGAGATATGCCTGAGATAAAGAAAATAAAGGCTGTGGATAATGGTGACTCAAATGATGAATTATCAGAATTTAGGGCAACTGAGCTTTCTCTGGTCACCAAGGGAGATTGTTTTCAAGAAGCTAACGTGGATAGTTGTGGTTAGAAATCATCTAGAAAAAACAGGGCTGTGCTCTTGCTTAGTACCTGATTTCTAAGTATTAAACATGTTTCAAAACTGAAGAGTGTCACTCTGAGCTGAGTATAAAGTAGGTCATGAATACCATGGCTCGGTGGCAGTTCTCACTGATATGTCAACTGAGTCAGGGGATTATCAGTGGCAGAGGTTGTGGGTCTGTGCTGCAATTAGATAATATTGATTTCATCCTTAGTTTGCATTGGAAAGCTGCTTGTGTCTTAGATCTGACATGATATTAAAAAAAGACTCAATTAATTCTTTGGGATGATTGCATCACCCAAAGACTACAGAACCCTCCAGAGAGAAAAAGGGGGAAATCATTATACAGGACTGAGACTTCACAACACATGGACCTTAAAGATCACATCTCATTATAAGTTTGAGTTTGATATGGAAAACTTGATCTCCAGTTTGCAGAAAAACAGCTTTATGCTCTGCAGATACTGAGCACTTTGAGAGGTTTTTCCAGCCTATAAACCTTCAGAAAGTTATTATGGTCTTTTTTCTCCCTTTCAAGATATAAAATCTGATCACATAGGGGAGGAAAGAATGATATTTGACATCCTCATTGGATGCACATTAGTTGTACAACCTCCTTATTTGCTTTGTCAGCTGCAGTTTTTGATACAAAAGTACTTATTTGCAGCATAATCAGAAAAAAAGTTGCTGTCAAGGTGAGTTCAGTTTGCCCCTTTTTAGCAGAAAATATTGGAGTGGGTTAAAAAAAAMCCCCTAATCTCATTTCCTCCCTTATTAATGCTATCTATTAACATTAGATTCAATAATGACATAAACCAATCAACTTCTTTGAAGAATAAAGCATGATACTGAAGTAATTAACTCATAACAATGTCAATGTAAGGCTGTTACAGAAAATCTTGCCCTAATCTGTCACCAGTTATCTCCTTGCACATTGTTAAGAATGTGGGAGGAAGGTAAATTGAAGTAGAGGAAGTAAATCAACCTTCTCAGAAATATTTAGAGTATATTGCAATCTAAAAACTGGGAAATGTGACATGCTTTTTTTTTAGAGAGTGGCATGGATTTTCCCCATATTTTCCCTGTCACTGTTAGCCATATTTTCTCAGCCTTTCTACTTCTCTCTTGTGCATTTTACAATTTGTAAATGAAGTTTTCTGACTGAGCCAGTATAGCTTGCTGCACTCTGTGGGTCTGTGTTATTGCAAAAGTTATAATTTCAGAAGTTTGATTCTGTAAAAGGCCCCATACTGTCACAGGATGAGAGCATGGTCTCTGCCACAGGTTGGGTTTTTAAAAAATGTATAGATAAGTAAGATGGGTTTGGTGTGGGAAAACAGAGATATTTCTTCTCATTTCATATGAGCAAATAATGATATGTAAACAATTAATGTTTTTATGTAATGTAAAGTTCACAACAGTATGTCTTATCCAATTATGACTGTTTTGTTTGATTTCTTATGTATTGGTTAAGAATAATGGGATAATGTCTTTGTTGTAGTGCTCTGAGGATGCAATTGAGCATTTCTGTGCAATTTTCTGGCACTAAAGGGTTTGTTTTACCATGGTTTAGCTTTGTCTTTTTTTCTGGCATCTTTTGCTGATAGTTTTGCTTCTTTCTGAAACAATTCTACCCTTCAGAAAAAAGGGCAAGAATAGGTTGTACAGAAACTACCACTTTGTGTGCCCACTGTCCATTCTTACTCTTCATCACATTACCCTTTAGAAAATCCTTTTAAGAACACATTTTACAGCCTAATATCAATGCCAGCTGATGAAGTTTATGATCTAAATGGGAGMAAATACAAATTTGGAAAAAAAAAGCTGCTCGTGTGACTTTTTAAGAGCACAGAATTTCCTTGCTTCTGCTGTGACTGCAAGTTTATGCCATATATTTGCTATTCTACATTCTACTACAGTATTGTTGATGGGGCATTTAAAGTTGTGAGGCAGGTGATCCGAATCATGATACTTAAGACTCTTGAGAGTTTAGAGGTCAGAATGATTTGTTTTGATGGCTGTTCCTGATGTGCTCAGTTTGTAGGGTATATAAGGCATAAATATAAACAAACCCAGCTCCATGTAATCAGATGGTTCCAAGGTTCTGTGCCTTTTACAAACATCACCAAGGCTTGCCATGAAATTCTGAGTTTGGTTACTCTTCTCCTGATCTCTGATCCTTGTCAATGACCCCTTGCTTTACATCCCTTAGCAGCTGAAGATGAGGCAAGGGAGTTTTCCCTGTTTTGTGCCGTGCACCCCCAGGAGCCGCTGAAGCTGTTTTGTGAGAGCTGTGACACCCTCACCTGCCGCAGCTGCCTCCTGTCTGAGCACAAGGAGCACAGGTACCTGATTGCTCATGGAATTCATTGAGATTTAACTTTTCATCTGTGTTTTCCAGCTGATCTCGCAGGCTGGTCTGAGTTTAAAAGCCACAGAAAATTTGGTTCAGTTTGCTGACTCCCAAGTGATTTAACGAGGCTCTCCTTGTTCACTCACAAATGTGGAAAACCACAGTGTGAGAGTTCTCTCTCCCTTCTTTCACAGGTTCAGGCATCTTGAGGAAGCTCTGCACAATCAGAGAATTATCCTTGAGAATCTCGTAACTAAAGTGGAGGAGAAAAAAAATGGGATTCAGGTTTCGGCTAAACAGATTGAAGACAGGTAATTGCTATGCTTTTTTTTTCCTCTCATGAAAGTGGGTGATATGCATAAATAATATTTTCACAAAATGTAGGTTAACAGAATTAAATGCAGCTGCTGTATTTTTTTATCTTGGAGGGTAGGAAATTATAGGAAGATTATAAAGAGCAGATTCATGTTTAAGTGGTACTGACAAGTCATGGCATTGTAATACATGATTCCATAGTCTTTGTAAGGCATGTGACAGTTGACTTTAGAGTTAAGATTTCTTTGGATAATGTGTTTCTGAACTAGAATTTGATTATATGAAATGTATATATATATATGAGAAATAAAGATAATTTTAAGAATACCTCATTTCTTCAAGAAACCCCAAAACAAGCTGTAATTGCACTCAAGACTAATAGAAAAATAAAAATATTTAACTATTTGAACTGGATTTCTGCTACTGATAGTGCATTTAGTAGCTGTTGGATCTCTCTTCTGCATTAATAAAACCATTTCAAGAGCACAAATCTGTTAATAATCCAGTATAAACTGAAAGCTTTTGGATGTATTATGTGTGTATTTGTTGACAAAGAACTAAAGACTGCTCTTGGCATGATGTTTGGGAGAATCCATCAGCATTACCAGGTCACATCCAGAGAGGGGTGGTCGGGGTTCAGAGAAGTGGGGGAGAATGAATGGGAAATGATGCAACTTTCACTGCAGTTCTGTCAGCAGATAGAAGAGTTCTTTTAAGAAACAACTGCTGAATAGTGAATAAATGATGTACAGCTGGCTCATCCAGGGATGTGTGTCTCTTACCCACAGGTTGCTTGAAGTAAAGCATTTGTACAGAAAGGTGGAAAACCAAATAAAAATGACCAAGGTGGTCCTGATGAATGAAATTGAGAAAAGAACCAATATCCTCCTTGAACAACTTGAAGTAAGTAAGGCTAGTTTGTTTGATACCTTGGGAAATTAAACTAAATTAAATTTAATCCCAGTGCCAGTGGAAAGAATATAGGCTGTGGGAGCTATTGTTCCTTTCCTTATATTTTAAAATATTTGGGTTTTTTTTTTTTCCTGCAGACTTTTATGTGAAATCAATGGTTGGCAAAGATTCAGGGTGAAGCAGCAAAATGCTTGTCATGATTTAGCCACAATTTCTAATGCATTTATGGAGAATATGTGTGCACCTTTTGAGTACTTAGAACAAAAACCAGGTTCTGATTTTAATGTTTTGTTTGTAGGAGCCCCTCAGCAGCTTAATTAATATCATGTTTCAAAAACTAGTCTTTGGTCTAATTTATGTAACAGACTTTTGAGTTTTGACTCTTCTGTTTTTGGGTGTCCTGGTAAAACACATGCGATTTCATTTTGAAATGTACTGAGGACAAAAATTGCCAGTCAGAATTTCCAGACAAGAAAGTGGTCTGGGTGCAAATTTGATCAGTTTCTACAGCTTTATTGTGTTATCATATTAAACCAAGGCCAGAATGATGCACGTTGTTTGCTACTGGGAAAGTCATTGCCTTCCTGAATTGAGATGTGTCTCCTGAGTTGTATTTGCTTTCTTTGTGTGATCGGTGGTTTTAAAGAGGTTCTGAAGAGCAGTGTTGCTGCAAATATGGCATGATCTAGTGCCAGTGATTCCGTGCATTATGTATGTCTGAAGTTTATGTCATATATTTGCTATTCCACATTTTACAACAGTAGAATTCTAGTTTCAATAGAAAATGAGCTCTTTTCTACTGATTCTCATTATTAACAGAAAATCACCAGTGAAAGGAAGCAGGGGCTGGAGCAACAACTGCAAGGTGTTGTGGTGTTAGGCAGACAGGTGGAACATGTCCAGAACTTCATCAGCTGGGCCGTGTGTAGTAAAAAAAACATCCCATTTCTCTTCAGTAAAGAACTGGTAAGGTCAATGCTTGTTTTGCAGTAATTGTGGGGAGTGTTCTAAGGATTTGATGTTTCTCAAGTGAAACACTTTTCATGGTTTTAGAATCGTGAATAAAATCATCATCCTTTACTGTGTCACAAGATTGTGTTTCAGATCCAGCGCTTGTTAGAGACCAACTGTAACCCTGACCTGGGACCTCCTCTGAAGATCAGATTTGCTTGGGATCACTCCTACTGGACTAAGCAACTCTCCAATTTAGGTAAGGGAAATACAATAGGTAAGTGCTCAAAGGTAGGCTAGACTGATGCAGACAATACAGTACTTTCCCTAAAGGACTCTCATTTTTATTGTTTTGTCATCCAGTTTTGAAACTCTTGTCGTGTTCTGAAGAAAAGTGAGTGTGGCTGAACTTTCCTGGTTTTCTTTCCAGTTATATCCACTCACTAAAAGATTGGTGTCAGGTGCTTTCACTCTCTCAGTGGCCACAGGACATGAACAAGTGTTGAGACACTTGAAGTCGATGGTCAAAAAGATGGCTTTGAGACACTGACTGTGCACTAATTACAGTTTTATTGATATAACAAATGTGCATGCTGTGACTTTGTTTCCCATCACCTACAAATTTCCCAGCTGCAATGGGTTTTTACAGTAAGTTCAGCTCATTGGACTGATCACTGATCTAAAAGATCAGTTCTCTTCCCATTTTAAGGTATTAAAAACTAAAAGGGGCAAAACACGATCAAAAGGGTTGCAGGGAGTAATTTTCTCTTGACAAAAATCATGGACAAGATAACTTCATAGGTTGCTTCTATTCCCGGCTTTTCTGAGTCTTGCCTACATTACATTAATCTCTTTTTATTTTTCTCATTTGCACCTTGGAAGCGGTGTTTTGGACCTGTGCTTATGAATGGGAAGATAAACTCATAGTTCAGTAAAAAAAAAAAGAAGATATAGGCCATATCCATCAGTTAAGATAAAATAAGGTCAATTTTTCAGAGTATTTGCTGGGTAATTCAACTGTGAGCTCCACTGACATCAGTGGGAGTTTGGCAGGAATAGAAATAACTAGATAAATATTGGAAAATTTGTTTTGAATGTATGTTGGCAGACTGTTTGGATAGGATATTTTAATATTTTTTATATTTGAAATGTGAATAATGGTAATTTCCTCGCCCATTTTTTTTATTGAGTAAATTTGTCAAGACCGCAGGAGGGAGTAAATTTTCTGTTTGTTTTTTTTTCCAGGGGGTCTCACAATGGAAGGTGGACACATTTCTCGGCCGGACGTGCTCCTCTGTGGCAATATTCAAGGTTTACAAGGTTTACAAAGCTCTCTGTACCCCGGGCACCATTCCCCAGCCTCGCTGGGGTGCACCCATCCGCCCCAGCTCCTGCCCGCGCTCCAGGGCTCTGCCCCGCTCTGCTGCTCGCACTGCCTCGGCGCTCCTCATCCAAACAAACCTTCCTCTCCTTACCAAGACCTGAGCCACCAGAAAACCTTCCAGCAGCCTCCTGCACTCCATCAGCAGCCCTTCCCTGTGCAGTACAGCCTGCAACACCACGACAGAGAGCCACGGGGTGTCCCCCAGCCTGGGAAGATGGTGCAGGCTGGGCTGGATCCACAGCCATGCTCGGAGATGGAGATCGCACCCGGGAGGATGGCAAAGCCCTTTCCACCCCAGCAGGGCTGTGCTGCTGTGTCCCACGAGGTTCAGCAGGTTCACACCAGCCACCCCCAGGCGTCTTTGCAGGCACCAAGTGTGCCAGTGCAGCTCGGCCATCCCCAGAAGATAAAGTCTCCCCCGGTGCTTCAGCCACCAGCGTCCCCACCACCAGGTCACGATGACGAGAGCGCCCACAAGCAGGTCATCCAGCAGAGCCTGGACATCATGCACCACCAGTTGGAGCTGGAGGAGATGAAAAAGGATCTGGAGCTTCTCCTGCAAGCCCAGGGGCACTCCAGCTTGCAGCTGAACCAAGCCAAGCCACCCCAGCATGTTCAGCAGACCATAGTTGGTCAGATCAACTACATAGTGAGGCAGCCAGCCCCAGCACAGCAGCAAATCCAAGATGAAGCACAGGTAAGGTCTCTCAAAGTCATTTCCTACTGCATTGAGTCGGAGTGAGTTCGGAAATCGGACACACCTATGGAGATTTCATGCATTTCTCTAAACTTTCTGTTGGTGTCTTGTCTGTGTATGCAGCAGAGAGGCTTTGTGCCTCGTGCAGATAGGGCCAAAATTTTCTGTAAAACAGATTGCATAAACACCCTGGATCCCAAAGATCTCCAAACAGACAATGTGAGCAGCAATGTGGGAAAATAAATCACCATCATTTCTCCTTTGTAAATAGGCGACTGGAGTACTGCAGATGTTTCACTCTTCATTTCAACTCTCTTTTTTACTGTAAGCATTTACCCCTCAGTCCTTAAAAAGGATTAGATTCTGGATTATTATTGAAGAGAGTGAGGACAAGCTTTTCTTGGTCTGAGAGTTATTTCCCATTCCAGTAACTGCTCCTGCTGCTGCATCCTGTCCTGTAAGATTATCATCATTACCCACTCTTGCTGTTGTGCTACGGCTTTGTCAGCAGGGCGAATCTCTTCCCTTTCTCTCTGCTAGTGAGGATCCTGATTTTGAAAGAGGGACAGTGCTTGGTGGTGAGCACTCAAACGAAAAGGCAGATAAGCTGCAGAATAGGGTGGCTTGGAAAATCATTTAAAATGGTGGGAAGGTGGCTTGGACTTCCCATTGTGTGAATTCTGTGTAGCTGCCAACTTGAACAGTTCTCAAAGTAGGTTACCTGTGAGAGAAGACTGCATGCTTGTGGAATAGCTGTACCTTTCAGCAGCTTTGAGTCCTTTTTTTTTCTTGAGTAATTAATGAAATGTTTGAGAGAAATCTTTCTCCATTTCTGTCTCTACTTAAGGGTGACTTGAACATCTCTGTTGTTTTAATCCTTTTGTGCTTGTCATAATGCTGTGAGCTGATGTCAACTTGTTACCAATTTTACTTCTGAGATGCTGAAAACACAGATTCTTATTTGTGGTTTGTAGGTCTGTGAGAGCTCCACAGAGCCTGATGCCCAGAAGCCTGTTCCCCTGGACAAAAGTGACAGTCCCTCCCTGTCACCATTAGATGATGGAGCCAGTGCCAGGAGCCACTCCCCTGAGAGCACACCACAGCAGCCTGGTTTCCATCCGCTGAGAAAGGTATAAAGAACCTCTAAAAAAAACTGAAGGGAAAACATGATTTGATAATATGGAATATGGCATTGGAGTTTGCAGTCACGCAGTACAAGCCAAATGGCTTGTAAATTTTGGAAGGTAGTCACAGCCTAACCTTGTGTGTGTTTCCCAGTAAGGTGACAGGATGAGCAGCTCTTCCAGAGGCTGTTTAGGTCTGGCTGGCATGATTGTTAACAGGCAAAAAACCAGAAGCTATCTTTCTTCACTGCTTAAATTCTGTCTAGCTCCTGTGTCTAGGGATTTAATTACTAGGACTTGCTAACTACTGTACTAGAAGCAGTTAATTTGAAAAAAAATAAAGCAAGAGTCAGAGATGCTGATGAAATCAGGCCTGAGAAACAGTCTTTGAAATAGTTGCCCCAGCAATAACAACATTAATTACTATTGAGGGTGTGGTGCCTGAAAGGGATATAATTCTGTTAAACTTCTTCACATTGTTGAAGTATAAGCAGAAAAATCACACTTTCTGTATATCTAGAATATTTTAGTACATAGTAGAGCCAGGCTTTTGTCTTTCCACCTACTGTGAGGCTCTGACTTGCAGGAGCAGCATGGACACAACCAGAAAGGCCCCCACTCATCAGTAAATCCTGGCTCTGGATGTCACCTGTGCTTTTGAAACAGAGAAGCTGCCTTTTACTCTTCTGTACAGTTTAAAACACTCCAAACAGCCCATCGTATTCTGCTTTTTCAAATCTCTTTGTTACTTCAGTGCATGACTCATTTTGTGTACCATGTAGAAGCCTTTCATGGATATTTTGTTCTTGGAATTTGTCTGTGTAATGTCGTGGAAGTACTTGACTTTCTAGCCTCAAAAAGCAAGTTATTTTTCCTTCTTTTGTATGAGATTTTGTTGATGCAACATATTCATGATGCAATACCCATCCAGAGAATTATTGGAGGTCCCTTTGGGAGTTGTCGTGGTATGGGCCTGGAAGCAGCATGCGAATTGGATTTGAAAGCTACAAAGAAATCTGTTTTACGGACCTGTAATGGAAAGTTATTCCCAACAGCTTAAGCAAGAAAAGTCAGAAAGAGGAAAGAAAATGGAAGCAGATGTGCAAGAGAAAGGAAGCAGTGTAGTCTGATTTGAAAAGCAGAAGTCATAAAGGTAAAAGGCCTGAGTTGTTGCTGTAGAAGTTAAAAAGGTTGAGCGAGAAAGATACTTATAGGAAATAAAAAGGGATTTTATTTCTAATGGTGTTGAGAAGTGTGTGCTCTTGTGCAGAAAACAGTTTGGTTTTTGAGGTGCCTGGTAGCTTTTCAAGAAATGAGAATGTTCAACAGCTACAGGACCCCATCTTTGCTTGTATTCATCCCCTCTAATGAGCTGTTTGGGATGAAGAGATCCGGATGGGATAAAGATATTGACAGCTCTGGCAGTGGCAAATTAGAATTGATGAAGGGAAACAGCACAGAAAGTAAACCCTTGAAATACATTCTTCATGAATGCTCTTGAAAGATGTCTGTCTGCTTTTGCTGACAATTGGATTAAATCTGAGTTTAAATGGGAGATTGGTTCCTGTTTGAGAGCAAGGTAATGTGTCTATTTGTTCTCATCTCTGGCTCACCTGATTCAATGTTTTCACACTCATCTCCAGAAATATTTCTGCAGAGGTGTTTGTCCATGTATCCTCACATGGCCTGTAGTCAAAACATTTCACCTCTCTCAAGGAGGACATGAAGAAAGTGAGTGTGGGCAAGTTTGAAATACTTGAAAAATGTGGTAGAGAAAATGGCTGCATAAATTTTTGCTGCATGAAGAAGAGCTGTGTTCTGTCTCTTGAAGAATAATTGGTGTTGGAGTTCTTGGCCTTGTGTTGCATTTCTGCTGAACTCTGGCAGCCTTCAGCTGGGCACAGTATTGCCAGTGGAGTACATAATTCCCTGTCTGCTGAGATTCTTTCATTAAGGAGAAAACAGTGTGCACCTGAATTAATTGTTTAGTGATACGGTTGCCAAGATCTGTCAAAAAATTAAACTAATAAAAGCTTTCTTTAGCCCAATTTTTTCCTTTATTTCAGAGTGGGACAAGGCTTGATTGGTCATGTAATTAAACCTCTAATTAATAAATTGATTCTGAAACATATTTATGGTATGAATTTTGTATTATTGACTGATAACTAGATTAATTGCATACAAAATCGTATTTATTTGTGAAACAATATAGAGAAGATACTGCTAATAGTTTGGAATTTAAATAGTTTGGAATAGTTTTGCTCATTTTTGAACATTAACGATGATATTTTGTCAGTCTTTCTGTCTTCCTGTGCATCCTTTTAACTCTTCTTTTTCTGTGGATTAATCTCTTTTTTTGTGCAGAATATTTTTTTCTATACTTAGACAATAGATTTTTTTTATATAAATCAAATAGTGACCTTTGCATAATTTTGGGCTTGGTTAGGACCTTTTGTGAGCGCAGCACTAGGAATGCCGGTTTTCTGTTGTTGTGGAAAATGGATACAATTTTCCTTCCATATCCTTCCCCTGTCAGAATGCTTCACTCACATAGCCAGGACCTCTGTTTTGGGCTGTGGAGTTGTTCTGTCTCCATGCCTGTCAAATACCTAGCCTCTCCAATAAGAATGGCAGCATCACAGAGAGCAAATTTCTGAATAACTTTTGTGTTATCTGCACTCCAGCTCCAGAGAATTGTGCCAGACTCTAGCAAACAGGTTTTACCTGAGCTGTGGAATTGCTAAGTTCCAGTGGGGAGGAATGAATACTCAGTTAGTTCAGCAGTTTTGTGGAAAGGGTTACCAACCTTCTGCAAAATATGATCTTGCTGCTTTTTACATGATGTGATATCAAGTTATTAATTTGTGCACAGGTCTAGAGATGTTCCATACTCTGGAACAAAAGCAAGAATAGTAACAGGTTTTGGGCCTAATTGTGTTTTCATGTGAGACMAACATAGCAACAGTTCATGGTGGAGCTCCTTTTTTTTCTTTAAAAACATGTGAAATTTGTGGAAAGAGGGCTGGAGGAAAGAGCACAAGTTTTGTTTATTGTTAGTATTGCACAGAGGATGTTGTGATTACTTAGGGACAGAAAGTAGTAAGAATTTAATATCCAACCCTAAAACTTCAAATCTGAGCTTGGGACTAAAGTGGGTTTGTTATTACTATTTTCCCTCCATAATTACTATTAATTTTAGAGGCATTAGTGATGTAGGAAATAACAGGCTGAAAATTAGGGTCCTATAAATTTCTGAAGTAACAGAGTATGCTCTTTACTTTAAAGAATTGAACTTCTTTACAGCACAAATGCCTTCATGCTTAATGCAATTAGGTACATTTCCCAGAATGTTAATTTTACAAAACCTTTTTCCTTTGACCTGAAAAAAAAAGATAAATAAAACATGATGCTACTCGCTCTGTGCAATCTCTCCCTTCTTCCGCTTTAAGCCTGCTCCACTTTATTCAGACAAATTGTTGAGGAAGATTTGGATTTTTTTTTTTTTCTCCTGAAAGCGGCGAGGAAATCCTCCGGATTCTGTGCTGAAACTGGGAATGGGAAGCATGTGTAGCCCGTGTTATCAGTGCTGCTGTGTTAAGCAACTGGATTGGAGTAGTACATTTGTTTAACCTCCCAGCATAATGAGCTGCCAGGGGGATTGCTCCACTTAATAGCAGCCGTTCATTACTCTGCAACCATTTGCAGCGTGGTTTTCCTCTCATAGCAAAGAGAATTGGCCGTTGCCAGTTTTAGCTTCCTTTTATCAGTGACACTTAATGTCAACAGCCCCGAGACTTTGCCAAAACAATCCTAACAAATCCTAATCCCAGTGTTTCAAGGTAAGTATTTGCTTCTCAGAATTCTTCTGTTGTGGTGCTGCATGTTTACACTGGACCTTTTTGAATGCAACAGTGATCAAGGAAATATTTGAACTGAGCCATATGTTTATTTTTTTTGTTCTCTGAAAGCACTTTGCATGTTCGTTCTTCTTACCTTTCACTACCATAGCTAAGAAAATTGTGGTAGGAGGCATTTTGGGGTGGTGATGCTGCTGCCATTGTATTATAAGGATCATCAGACCAAAATTAATTATGAGGCAATGAGAATTCCATTTATAGTGACACAGATGTAGTTCAATCTGCCAGATTGTGCATTAAAATGTCAAAAAGTTCAAAATTAACCAACAGCTGAAGCCACCCTCTGCCCAAGAGCATAATAATGCTTGTTGTTGTTCAAATGTTGCAATGTAGAAGCATTAGAGCTTTTATAAAACACAGATAAATCCTTTAAAGGCATCCCATTTGCAAAAGCTGAGCTGTCAAGGGAAAAGAGAAATTTTTGCTAATGGCAAAAGAAATGATTATTTTAGGGAGTGAATTAATAGTCTATTAATGAGCCTTGTTCCCAGTGCATTGTTCACTTCACACTTGACAGCAGCTCCATGGATCAGAATGGAATGTGTCCGTTCTTAACTGTGAGTTTTAATATTTTGCACTGAAAGATCATAATGTTGCTTCATCATTAAAATAACCACAAAATTAACTTTTGCCCCAAGGGAAAGATATATGGCAGTTTGATGGCCTCATTATTCTCTTTAACAAGAGTAAGGTTTTACATTGGCTTATATAATCTAAAAAGATCTCTGAAGAAACTGATGCAAGCTAGAAGAGTAAAAAGGACACAGCCCTGCCATGCAATTGAATTTCACCTTTTTGTGAAAACTATAGCTATAACAAAATCTTATGTGTGTGTCCATACTGATTTTTTTTCTTTGGTAGGAATCATCCCAGTGACTACACTCAGTAAAGAAACTTGTTTCCCTGGAGCCAGGAGTAATCCTACATTTCCTGAGGAGGGCGACATTTCACCTGAGTTATACCCAGAGGGTCAGATCTCAGTTCATGAGGTGGTGGCACATGCTCATGAGGGAGTAGAGGAAGATGTGGGTAGTGATTTGGACGAGTGGCCAGAAGGTCTGCTGTTGACTTAGGAGCAAATTTGGGTGGTGTGCCTGCCATGTGGGTGCCCCAGCATGCCCATTCCCAATGTAGCACAGCTTTAGGTAGTTCCTATTGACTCAGGAATTTGTGGATGCTTCATGTTTTGGAGAACCTGACTAAATAAATATTTAACTACTTCACAAGGGTTTAATTAATGCTTGCAGTGGACTTTGAAATAAGGGGAAGAGGGCAAGGGTTGATTACAGTTCAGCTCCAGCAGAATTCATGCTTATTTGTTTTGTTGTCTGTAAGTGATATGGGAACATGTTAATTTTGTCATCTGAAAAAGGCTTGTGATAAAAGGAGTGGTGGAATGAAAAGGAAAATGTGTATTTGGTAGGCCACAGTTATCACTGCATGTGCAGGAACCTGTCACAAGCTGTGTGGCACAGCTGTGATGGCAAATAAATGCTTTTGATCTTTGTGGGTTTTGGGATGTGTGGCCATGAGAAGTGGGTTCCTTGCTGACATATGTGTATGACTTTGGTTTGAAGCCTTAGCATTCCTAGGAATTCTCTGTCAGACAGGCTATATACCAAATTTGGCCTCCACCTGTGCATTTCCTCATTGGCTGTGTCTGGTTTTCAGCTCAAATGGAGGTAGGAAGAACGTATTTGGCGAGTTCCAGCTGCTTCCAAATAGTTATTACAGCTCAGACAGCTTAGATTTAGGGGAGTTCATTTGGATAATGACCAATTCCCTGGCTGCAGAAAGCCAGAGCTCTCTGGCATGCCTTCTACATGGAGGGACTGTTCAAAGCAGGCTCACTGGAGCGCTGTGTGCTAGAAGGGCACAAATTTTGCCTGGCTCTGCAGCAGAGCTGACCAACCTCTGTCCCAAATGTAGGTTTATTCTGTCTCATCAAAGTAACTGGTTTTAACTGTTTAGGCAAAGCTCACTATTCAAGTTGTAGCATCTATTGCAAATTGATCAAAAGGAAATTAAATTGCATCCTTAGGTGGAAATCAGTGTCTGTGGGCAGTATTCTCTTTGCAGATAGTTGCTGTGCTTTGCAAGGAGAGAAATTCCAGGCTGACTTTGGCATGATGTAGAATTTACCCAGGAACATCTGGCAGTTCAGTTTAGGCTGCAGTCTTTACCACTGCGGGGTTAAGATGGATGAAACTATCAAAATCAAAATCAGAGTATAAGTTGAGAAAAATACTAATTAAATTTAGGAAATGTGTTCTGTCTCAGATTCACTTCTGAGTCACAGGCTTCTAGCAGAGAAATAAGTACAAATATATATTTAAACACTAATTCAGTTGCAATGGACACATTTCTAGTGCTTTGGTTCATATTATAAGTGCTACCTACTGTTTTGAAGTCAGATGAAAAGCATATAGTCAATTGTCAGGGATGAAACACCAATGAACTGTGATGAAATCAAGGGGAAGTTGTGTATTCAAGTGATACAGATCTGTGTACTTCTGAAGATTCCTTGTATTTGCTACAAATGGGTGCTCGAAGAGTCTTGTTTTCAATAGAGGCACACGTTCGTGGATGTGAGGAGCTTGGAGAAGTCACCTAGATGGGCAGATTTGCTTTGGTTTGTGTAACAGTGTCTCTGTGGGCTTGGGAGTGATGAATCCTGAGACACTAAAAAGTACATATTGATATTACGGTAAATGTTCCCTTTCTTTGGAAATGAGACTTATTTCCTCATTAGTACATATAGGATGTTTCTGGATGTACTCTATGATATTTAAAGGAGAAATGCCTTAGGCTTTAATAGGGCCAACTCACTAACTAGCACAACAATGTCTTCATCCACTTGTATCAGAGTTAAATTTTATTTCTTCTGAATCTTCCTTCTCAATGAAGCGATCTGATGATTTTTTAATAAAATGATAAAAAGTTTCTGATTTGAATCTCATTTCTCCTGGAAGAACTTAATGGAAAAGCATAGGGTTTATATCTAGGATTGATCTGGTACAGTGTTCTACATACTTAGATTTCCCATTCATTGCAGGAGTTAAAAATCAAAATCCCTTGAATTGGTCAAAGGAAGACTTTTTTTGTAAGTCACAGAAGAGTAACCCAGTTGTCTCCTTTCCCAATTTTCAGTTTTAATGGTGGAAAATCTAAAGCTTTTGGAAATAGTATAGGTTTACAATAGATTCTTAGAGCCCTTCTGATAGAACTGCTTGATTATGACTAGCTGAAACTAAACAACTCACGTATTATAAGAAGAACCAGTAGCGTTTTGCTGCTGAAAAGCTTATTGATATATTGGATTATTTTTCTTTTTGCCTTTCCCAGCATTCAGCATCCTTGAGCTTTGTGGGCTTCCCAAACAGTTCGGAAATGGAATTATCTCCAGCAAGATTACCCAGCTCGGCTGACCCGCAGGTGAAAGGTGCAGCTGCTGTGACACTTGGTCCGTCCCCAAATGCCCTTTGTGACTGTGATCCTCCACCAGAGCCCCTGCCCAGCTACAGCCTGGCCCTGGGCAGAGCTCCCAGTGACCTGAGCCCTGGGGCTCCTGCTGGCCTCACAGCAGGTGATGCACTCCAGGGAGGCACTAAATGCAAGGTAGGGATTGCTCCAACTCCTCTGCTGAGAGGGAATTCACTCTCATTTACAGCACCTGTTATTATTGTTAGTCAATCAGTCAAAGTAAATGACTATTTCAGTGAGTAAAATTTTCCTTATTTGTTGTTCGAAGACTGATTACAAATTATTTTCTTACCATGGAAAGAAAGAGAACTGTTAATAAAATTCTGCATTTCTTTCTTCCCTGCCCCCTGAAGCTGGAGAATGAAGACCTCAATGCTGTAGATTGTCTTCTAGAAAACAGTTTGGCTGCTGCTGGGCAGGAGGTAGTTAATGAATTAACTCTTTCTATGCAAAAAGTGATGGAAGAACCTATTAATCTGTCAATCAAAAAGTCTCAGCACTGCACTTCTCCTTTGGAACCGCTCGGCAACACTTCTTTCCTGCCTGTGAATGACAGAATGAGACAGCCTAGAAGCAAAGAAGGTACTGACTGGGCTTTTAACTATTTTGTTTAGATTTTTTTTTTCTTTCTTAGCATTGGGCATTCCAGACATTGCAGACCAGTACGCTTATTAATACACTTACATGTAAATGTGCTTTTCCAGCAAGCTTCAGATATTATCAGAGTACTTAATCCAATGGAAAAGTATGTTTGATCTTATTTGTGGAGGAAAAACATGGAAATTATGTGCTTTGAATTTGTAACATCCTTCATCTGTGAACCAGAAAGGAGTGTGTCTGTGTGAAGTACCTGGAGTATTAGATTTTTTAGCAGCACTCCTTTTAATGAGAGCTGCAATTATGACTATTGAAGAGCTGGTTTGAAGAGTCCAAATTCAATTTAAAAAAACCCACGTTTCTTCCGAAATGTAATGTGCCTTCTGCTGAGTTCTTCACATCAGTAGCATACCAAATTTTTTTTAATACTCTGCACAGTGTGTGCCTTTGCTTGGCTCTGTCTACTGTGAAACATTCCCTTCAGCCAAGGCCGATTTCTTCAGCCCTAATGGAGAATTAGACTTTACTTAACTCTTTTTGTGGGCAAATTGCCAACACCGTTGTGCTGCACAGTAAAGCCTTATTCCTGCAAACTCTGAAAGTCAATGGGGCTATTCATGCAAGCAAGGGATTGCAGGATCAAGCAGTTATCCTGTGACTTATGCCAATATTTGGCTGCATTTCTCTGTAAAAGATGATTTAATATTTCTATCTCTGGTGCTGTATTTTTATTCAGAGAATTCTAATTAGTACAAAGGAGGCCTAGCCCAGTGAGCCAAGGAAGTGTATTTGTCTTCTCTTCTACATCCCATGCCAAATCGTGGCAACTACGTGACAATCATTTGTGTGGGTTTTTAGAATCAGGATGACCCCAAAAAAGCTGTGCCTCAGTCAGGCTGAAGTGTCTCTGGCATGAGCAGCTTTGTAGTGTCTGGTGTGGGTTGTGTGACACCCCACAGAGACACAGACAGCCCCAGTGTTCACAATCTCCCTGTCAGGAGTAGGTGCTACAATTTTTCTGGGTACAAAGCGCACGCCCTGTTGTGCCAGGGGGTGGAAAGCCCTGAGTGTTGAGTTCAGGGCTGCTCCCTTTCCAGGAGGAAGGATCAGTTCCCATCCTGTTGTCTCTATTTAAGGGCATGCAGTGAGGGGAGACTTGAGGAGATGCAGTCCCCAGTGCACCATAAAATGTGAATTCTGCTGCAAAGGCGGTGTTAACCCTGCTGGTGGCTCTCAGGATGACTTGCTGGCTTCAGCAGTGCTGTGCTGCCAGCCTCATGCCTTCTGGTATTTGTCTCCAATGACTCATCCATTCTAATATTAAACATTTCAGCTTAATTTAAAGCAAAATAATTCTTATCCCAGGCACAAGGGATGTGGTAAAATTGTACAAATGTCATCATTTCCCCTTTTACAGCCACTTTTCTTTCTTATGACTTGCATAAACACTCTCCCCTCCTCTTCTCTTTGCTAGACTAAACAAATCTGATGGTTTCAGTCTCTCCTCATGGGTCAGGGATTTGATTTTTTCAAAACCACCTCCTTTGTGCTGTGCTATTTTAGGTTCTGTGCAATTAAGGAGTGCTGCCCACGGCCAAGTGCAGCGCTGCAGCTGAGGCCTCTGGGGTGCTGTGCAGAACCAGGGTATCAGCTCTTTGAGTTTTACATTCCTTGCTGCTGCTAATACTCTGCAGGATGGCATTCCTCTCTTATGCGCAGCAGCAGCATTAGGGGATTGACTGGTGTGCAGTGAGCAGCCCATTTTAACCCTAATTTCTTTTCAAGAACCGTTCCCCAGACAGTTGTTTTCCTTTGGGATTGCACTCATATGACTCTTCATGAGCATAATACGGTTATCTCAATTCACTTTTACTGATTCAGGAGATTTTTTTTTTTGTGATATACTAAGGTCTGTTTTAAACTGAAAATGTTCTCCACAGTGCCACCACTCTAGTTTGGTGCTCTCATTTTATAGGCACTATGGTTTTATGAGCCAAGTTGCTGATGGAAATATTGGTTAATGTAGGAACGCAGACCCACTGGAACATCCTCTGCTTTGACAGAGTGCTGTGAGAGCTCCTCCTTCAGCTCAGTGTGCAGTCTCCCTTTAGTAATTCTGTCTGTGACAGGACGTCCCACCCCTCACCTGAGCAACAATCTCAAGTGAAAAATGCCTTAGGTGTGATGGGAAATGCATCTTTCCTTATTAGTCTTGTTTTTATTGTGTTTCTTGTGGCAGGAAAAAACACTACCTTAGAGGCACATTGCTTGCAAGCTGTGGCTGAGGTAGCATTGATCTGAGCTAGGTTTTCTTTTAAAAAGCATGTTTTCCTGGCCCTCACTTATCTCAAGATAATCATGGTATTAGGTTTGTTCCTGTTAGTATTGGCTATGTCAAACTAATTTCCCGACAAAAGAAGGAGTGAGTATGAAATTTTTCAGTGGACTTGTGTTTATGAGGGCATCCACTGGGACATTTGTTTCCACCATGTGTTATTACTTGTGTTTAGTATCAGTCAAACACTACAGCTATATGCTGATGTAGTTATATAAAGCTGCAGCTAAATGCTAATATAGCAGATAGTTTTGAATTAATGTGTTTATGGGTTACAGACATTGGAGGAAAGGAATTATAGTGTAACTTTTGTCCCTTGGTGGCAGATGTGAGACAAATTTTTCTTCCTGTTTTCAAATTACTGGAATTATCCAGAAGCTTCTTAGCATGGAGCTGGAGACCACAAAGATTTTCTGAGCCTCTGGGGTTCAGACCTCAGCAGGTCTGTTTTTCCTCAAGTGAAGGCTGTATAGCAAAGAGGATTATTTGCGTTATTCCATGTATATGGATGAATGTGATATGGCTGTGTACATATATAATTCCCTGGGAATGAAACAATTTCCACAAAATATTTCATAAATGCTCCTCATGTTTAGTACAGAAGCTGTGGTTAGAAAGAAAAAAGAAAGACAAAGGCTCTGCACCAGAACAGAAAATAGCATACACATTTTCTATACATATAGATGAAATGATTCTATAATTCACTTATGATATCATATTAAACACCAGTCAGAAGTACATGAATATTGAACTACTTTCTACCCTAATCTGCCTGTGCTATTATAAATATTTTATTCGTTTTCTTATCTTCTGTTCCAGATTCCAATAACTGTGAAAAGGAACATTTTGAAATGGATATGAAAAGCAATCACAATGTCAGGTAGCAGAGTCTTTTTTTATACAAAAGCACTGACTGTGAAATTTTATGCTAATTTGGAAAATTTGTCATACTTAATGGTGATGGAGAACTTAAAAAGAATTCTAGATTCCTTATAGATAGTAGTACTGAAAGTTATTAAGTGCTCTCAAACTTAAAAACAACAATGAAAAGTATGTGGTGAATTAATGTATTTCTGTGTAGTTTTTCAGAATGAATAAATATCTGCAAACTTATCTCCCTTGAACAATTAGAAAATATGAAGTCCCAATGAAACTTAAAAGATATAATGAAAACAGGATTAACATTATCTCAATAACTTTATAAAATTTTGTTTTCAGCTCCTGCTGTGGTAATATGTTAAGGTTGATGATGTGCTATGTTCCTGTTGTAGCCAGCCACACTGAAAAGAATCAAGCAATTAAACTAGGATAATTCAAACAAAAATATACAGAGCTAGGCGGGGTTTTAGCACAGAAGTTAGTTATATATTTACACATATGATTCATTTGAAAGTGATTTCATTCACATTTCTTAAAGAACTGGCTTGTGAGAAAAAGTCCAGATTTTCAGCATTTGGCCACTAGAGTCACAGTTAGAAAGGAAAAGGACCACAAATAACAACGCACGAAAGTGAGTAGTGAGGAGAATTTTGTGGGATATGGCTGAGTGTAACCACGTGTCCTTTCGGCTGCAGAGCTGTCCCTAAGGAGCAGAAGATCCCCTATGTGCGGCTGGAACGTCTGGAAATATCCACCTCGGAAGTGGGGCAGCTGCCGGTGTTCAAGCTGCAGCCGCAGGACAACGAGCAGGAGGGCAATTTCCTCCTGGTGATTGAATGCGGGACACGCTCTTCAAGGATGTCTATAAAGGTGCGTGGGACTTCCTTGAGCTCTTCCCTGCCTTCTTCCCTTTTTCCCCCTGTTTGTACGCACAGTTTCTGGGATATTGTGCAGTGAACAAGTCTGTTGATTGTTTTCACCCTCAGGTACTTCTGTGATGGGTTGGGGTAAAGAGAGTACAGCTTTTAGCTTGCGGTGGAGCTCCCTGATTCTTCCACTTCTGAGAAACTGGCCTGAATGTGTACTTGAGTGATAGGAACCTGTCCCAGARATAACAGTGTAACAGATTTTTAAATGCTTTATAGGATACTGCTTCGGCAGTGTCTTGAGTGTGAACTTCTTTCCACAGAAGGAAACAGGAATTTCTGGTGCGAAGAAGACCTTTCCTGTTGTTGGTTTTTTTTTTGTTTTTTTTTTCTTCCCCAGGGGTAGGGCAGGTGGGGGGTTTTGAGCTGTTTACAGTAAAATTTACAAGTAAGAGTGTGGAGCATCCTGTTTCTATCACCTGTGGTGTGGGCTCTGCACAGCTCTCTCACAATGCTCCTACATCGAGGTACACTGAGGAGGAAATGACTTGGCCAAGGCTAGCAGTGTGGGCCTGCTGAACCCCAGGGCTCTCCCCAGTAGAGTTCACTGCAGAAAAGTATTTTATCTGCAGATAACCAGTGATCCTTTATGCTGATATATGAAAATGATGATTGCATAATCCCAGATTTTTCTTCCTTCAAGATCAATAAAGATATCCCAGCTGAAGGACAAAAGTCCAAAGAGGAGAACTCAGAAGACAGAAGATTTCTCATCTCCCAGGCTGCAGGACAGTCACAATCTCCTCCTGTGGATGCTCCATCTGTTGATCAGAAGCTCAGCAATGGCATCTCCAGCATGAAAAAGTCCCCAGTTACTCAGGAATTCAGTCCAATAGAAAATGAGGATTTCTGTGCTGTGTGTCTCAATGGAGGAGAGCTGTTATGCTGCGATCACTGCCCCAAAGTCTTCCATCTCTCCTGCCACGTTCCAGCCCTGCTCAGCTTTCCTGTGTGAGTATGGATGACATTTCAATAATGTGTTGTTCCTGTTCACTGCCTAGGGGTGGAATGCATCCTCAGGGACAGATGTTTCAACCTTATACAAGTACAAGGACTGCATCTCTCACTTGGCTTTTTTGGTACTTTTTTTGTCTCACATGCTAGGAGCTAGATGAGTTATGAAAAAGAGCAGCTTCCAGTCCTTTCTGCAGTTAACTGGTTGGTACAGAAAAGGAGGTGGTAGGTCTGAACTTAATACACTTCCATATGACTCACTGGAGAAAAATAAAATCCTGACTCTCGTGTAACATCTGGAGTGTAGACATCAGCTCTTACTCTGCAAGAACAGAGACTAGCACAAGGGAACCAGTGAATTTCTATCCAGTTAGAAAATTTAATGGGAAATGTAGGACTATCAGGGCTTTTGTGGAAATATTGGAAGCCATTGGTTCTCTAGCGGCTTGTCACAGATGGATTGTATGCAATAAGCCAGAAATAGATGCATGTTCACATACCAAACTGAAAGTGAGGCTGAATAATGTGTATTACTGGGGTATGCAATTCTGAATTCTGTTATAAATCATTACCTGGTGGGACCAGAAGCTGCTTCATTTGAGCCAAACCTGAATAATTGTCTCGGCTGAGAAAAATATGTTGTAAGATATTYAATTAAAGATTCTGGTTTGTTCTTTCTTTTCAAAAACCAGGATTTTTCAGCTTTTGTCTTTTCACTCTTTTCTCTAGTAGCTGAGTAATGAATAAACTTCTAGTTACAAAGCAATGTGAAAACCAAGGTTTCCTCTTAGAATAAACTTTTAGGCAAAGTTAAATTCTAATGAAGTTAATTAATTCCCTTAACTAAAGTGCCTTACTCAGTTTTTTCAGTATATCCTCATCTATAGTTATTCAGACCCTGATGTTGCAGAAGTTGCGTTACCCGCCTTCATGAAATTCTTCAAGTGGTTTCTGAAAATGGATCTACTAGCAAGGACATGCATGCCCTCGCAGAATTATCTATTTGATTTGGGGACCTGTGTTCTAACCCACCTTTTCTGAAAATGTTGATTCCTTAGATAAACACGTCATAACAATAAATACCTCATAACATAATAAATACCTCAATTATCAAACAGGTCTGGGTTTGTCTTATGAAACAATTGTTGCCTGTTTTTCCTTAGTATTTTTTCCAAGCATCAGTGCAGCTGCGCACACTGCTGGTACATGATTTCAAACACAATTTTGTCTTTTTCTTTTTCTTTGTGACAGAAAGAGAACCATTAATAGAATCTGAAATGGTTATACTTCCAAATGGATTCACATCCAATGAAGAACATAAACTACAGTGGGCCTCAGATTGCCTGCTATCATAATGCTAGTTAAGGATTGAGCCTTTCCTAATAGTGATTTATGAGATTTCCTGTTTGACAAGGTTGTGGAAAAAGCCCACAAGTTTTTTGGTTTCCTGTTTTGCAGGGGTGAATGGGTGTGCTCGCTTTGCCGTAATCCAGTGAAGCCAGAGGTGGAATACGACTGTGAAAACACACGCTACAGCCACAGCTACAATGCACAATATGGCCTTGATGACTGTGACCAGAAGGTGGGAAGAATTATAAATTTTGTACTGTTTAAAACAGACCATATGATCTCAGCGTGAGGCTTAGGTTTTACATTCACAAGCTGATGGTTTTGCTTGGCTGCTACTCAAATGTTACACGCAGCAGTAAATACAACAAAAGTATTATTGCTGTTTGGTTGTATCATTCTTGTTTTTCCAGGCATTGCTGTTCAATTTTAAAATGAATGCCATGTAACAGAAAGATGAAGCAGGCAAATGTGGAATTCTTTTTCTCCTTTGAACAGGGAAGTCACACTCCACAGCAGAGCTTCCCTGAGTAAATTTTGCCGGCTTTGTGATACTCAGTCTTTTTCCTTTAAAACTTCACACCTCCTCAGTCATTTGCTTGGGCCAGAGCAATGATATTTTTGTGGTGATGACTTGGACTGAAATACTCATACAGTCTTCATATGTCCCATTAATTCCCTTGAAAATGACATTCAGGCTATTAACTCAGCCTAGAGGAAAGCTTATCAATATACATACCCATCAGTTCCTCTACCTAATCTTCCGTGAAAACAGTGACTTTTCCCAAAGTTCACTTTGTATTTGGAAGGCACAAGTTCCAAATAGCTCTGTGTATATAGATGACAGCTGGACAGCGGACTGGATTCCACACAGCTTAGTTCATATGCTGAGCTGGTCCTGTTTCTACTGTATTTGGTATCACTGGACAAAAATTGTTGGGATTTGAGTCTTAAGTGCTATTTAGATAATTGAATTGATTAAGAATTCCATTGCTTGTGAGAAAATATGGCTTATAATGTTTTTATAGTGCTTTTTTTTCACCAGTGAAAAAGCCAAAGATTAGTGTAAGTGTTTTACAAGTTAATGATGATTAAAGGGAACAATTTTCATACAGTACTACCAACTTACATCCGTTGGAATGTATGGATATAAGCAGTGTGAAACATTTCCCATTTACCTCTGTCCATATTGGTGCTGCCATTCTTTCACCTAAGAGCCAAGGAATGGACCTGGAGTGCAGAAAGTAAATAATGGTAGTGATTAAATCCCAAGAATTTCCAGGAAAATGTTTCTTTTGTTGCATTTCTTGACTACCCATATCTTCAAAGCTATATTAATGCCACAAGGCAAAACCCCCCCAGGTTAAAGTGAAGCGTGCCATTTTGCATCAAAATTGTATAGTCTGCATGAGAATTCTCTTTTAACTAGGGGCAAAAATGAAACTGTCTTAATTTGAATTAAAATATATTTCAATTCTGGCTTCTACAGAAGTGTGAAAAGCTGGTGCTTTCCCTGTTCTGCAGCAGTATGAGCCTCCCATTCCACGAACCTGTCAGTCCCCTGGTAAGTACAGCATGTGCAGGAAACAGAGGGAATCCAGAGAACTTCACAACTATCTCCTTTGTCTTCTTGAAAGATATTAATGAGGTTTTTCCCCAAACACTATTGCTTCCTAGGAAAGGGTGTATGTTCTCCTTTTGCAAATACCTTGAAGGTGTCAGGCTGGAGGCAGGTAAATGTTTGGCCARTGTTCAGACAAATTTAAGATGTTGTTAGAATGGTAAAGGTGTGTGAGGAGTTCAAATGATTGAAATTTGACTTGCCACATATGTTGAGAATGTTTTTACTGTCGTAAAAGAGGCCTGCTCCAGAAGCAACCGTGAGCTCCCTCTTTCCTGGTGCTGTGCACACAGAGGGTAACTGTGACTGTGTGCAGGGGAAGATGTAGACACTTCTGCTTCATCCACGCATTCAGAATTTGCAATAATAACTCTCTGCTTTAAGCAAAATGGAGATTCACACTACTCTAACAATGGAACACAATGTGATATGAGTTGGAGGAGGAAAAAATAAGGGTTTTAAGTGAAGAAATAGTCCAAATAATGATAGAAAACCCATTTCCATCCAAAAATGCTTGCAATAAACTTAGAGAACAAATTACCTGACAAGTAGGTTTAGACCCAGAAAAATTTAAGGAATGGGATTTTCTGGTAGCTGATGCCCATTGAAAAAGACTCTTGTTGAACTTTTTAAAAAGACTGCACATAATCACTCTTTTTATCACTCTTGTAGTCTTGGCAGACTACTTCCCACATTCTCAGCTGCCAGTATCACAGCACATTCTTTTTATAATTGCTTAGAGAAAATGTTAGCCAATTATCAATGTTATATGTGTTATTGATCATAGTTAAATTTGGGTTATGGTTATCTGGAGAGAAAGTTTACAAAGTGCAAGCAGCAAAGTAGTAACTGAAGTGTGCTATTTTCAAGATCAGTCTTGCAAGAAAATATGGTTTTAGTCAAACCCAAAAGCATCCAGGAAGGTGATGTGCAAGTGTAGTCACTAGAAGACTAGAGCTCTCTTCCCTGATGCAAGCACTCCTCTCCAATGGCTTCTATCCAAACTTGCAGAGAAGTCACTGGAGAGGAAATGTTTTAATTAAAAATGTCCCATTCCTTCATTTTATTCTTATGGCAGGCTCGGCATTATTATCAGATCATCAAAAGGCCAATGGATTTGTCCACCATACGAAAGAAGCTGCAAAAAAAGGACAAGTCCCACTATTCTGCACCTGAGGAACTTGTGACTGACGTGCGTCTCATGTTTTGGAACTGTGCAAAGTTCAATTATGTATGTTTCTAATATACATGGGTGGGGGGTACAAAGCAGGGGGTAGCTCTTTCAGTGGGTGTCAACGGTGTACCTGTTGGTTCCATGGAAATCAGATATAGGATTGGGATAAACAGAAGTATTAATCAGTTATATTATTTTTTGATGACAGAAATTAAGTTATATGAAGCTACATGTATATCTGASAAATTGAGATACATATGTATGGATCTAAAATTAGAGAGGGGCATCTTTATGGACAGCTCTTTAAAGTGTTGTTGAGTTCACTGTGAGAAGCCAGTCACAGGTAGCAAAATATCTAGGGAAAATAAAATGCATAGAAATTCCTATGCAGTGATGACTGCTCCTCTTTCTAGTTTACTGCACTGCTCTTTTTCTTGGAGGTGCATAAATTTAATAGCAGCATCTGGTTTTTACTTACCCTGGAAATGCAGAGGGACTAATGGGGTGTAGAAAGTGCAGAGACTGATGGAGATGTAGCAGACAGAGATGAGGTGAGGTGTTGGGGTGGGGTAGTTATTTGGGTTTGATCCTTGGGGATTCCTGTGTGTGGTAGCACTGAACGATTACTCCTTCCCTTACAGCCAGATTCTGAGGTTGCTGAGGCTGGGCGATGTCTGGATGAGTTCTTTGAGGACAAACTGAAAGAGATTTATCCAGACAGGCATTTCCCTTCAATGCAACAGGATGACTCTGATTCTGAAGACGTGGAAAGCCAGAGCAGCCAAGTGCCATCCCAGGATTTCCAGTGGCCGTTGTACGGACAGGAGTGCGTCCAGCCCAAAAGGAAGCGGCGCCACGCTGTAAGATTGCAAAAGCAAAAGCATTTGGTTGCTAAGTGGCCACCTTGCTAACTCTGTTTACAGCTACTGGTGGGAAGCTTTGGCAGAGCCCTGTGGGAAATGTGTCAAGCTTCTATCAGTTCTAAAATTCTATGTTAAGGTCCCTTGAGTGGAATGAAGTGTCAGACGTGTATAAATGTGCGAGCAGGAGCAAATGAAGCCTCTCAGGCTTCCCAGAAGAAAGCTCTGTCAAGGTTTGTGAAAAGACTGAGCCCTTTAGCTATTCATTGTTTGTTTCCTTTGTACACAGGAAAGCGAAAAAACTAAAAGAATGATGTTTCAGCCAGCTAACAGCTGTCCTCAGGTATGACCTCCTCAAGATATGAGATTTGAGGAATCCAGCAGCATGACTGGCAGAGTTAAGGTGTGTGGGAGGAAAGCAAAGCGCTTGGGCTGTTTATAAATAAACTCTCCTATTCTGCTGATCATATGCCTTATTTCTAGATCTTGTGGATAGATAACAGATCCAAAATGTTTAAATCTGTCAATATTCCATCTGTTAAACCATGTACATGTTTTGCAGTGTTTACACTGAAATACTAATGTTTTGGTCATAGGTAATGATAAATAATAAAAAAGATTACATACTAATTATATCTCATACTGCAGTACTGTTTTATAATCTGTTCAATGTGGCATCCCTACTTTATAGAGCACAGGTAACCATGAAATAATCTTTCAACCTCAGTGTGAACATTGGCCATGCTTTGTGACAAATACAATGTGTAGTCATTAAGGCTGTAATCCTGTTGTCTTATTCAATGATTTTTCTGGGAGCTTGGCTGCTCAAAGCCTATGAGATACAGTATAATGTGATTATCTGATTAGCTGTTCCTTTTGAAGCACAGCATTTTCATTAAAGCACCAAAGAACAAGTGCTAATAGCGCTGATACAAGGGCTCTGTGAGAGCTGTTTCTCAGTGCATACTGGGTGCTCTGTCTGTAAGGCATGATTCCTCTGGAATCTAATTCATGCCTGGAAAAGCAGTGTGAGATTTGGTGGCTCCCGAAGGCAGCATTCTTATACAACCCAAGACCCTTGTTTTCTCTGTAAAGGAGATACTGGAATTCAGTAAATTAACTATGCAGTGAATTACATGGTTATAGAAGTGCCTGTAAAATAACGTCATTTGTTTCTGATTTTCTCTTTGCTTATTACCTGTAGCTGTGATTACCAACAGCACTAGAAGATGACGATAATGCACATATGTAGAAGCTCAAACAAAATGAAAGAATGTCTAAAATGTTTGCTTTTGGGTTTTTTTTCTTTTTTTGCTAAATTTCACAATGTGTAGGCAGAACACCACCAAGAGCAGATTTAGAGTTCACTTGAACTCTTGAAAGGTTACATGTCTGTAAAGTGTGAAGGGTGGGATCACACCTGATCAGAGAGTGATAGCTTGCAAGGTACTTCCCATCTCTTCACAAAGCAGGTGAGCCAAATCTTTTCATGGCCAGTGCTTTCTTCATGTGTGTGAGGGGCATCTTCGTTAGAGTGCTGCCCAGCAGAATAATCCAGGTTTGGGTCTGAGAGAGGAGATTGTTGCAGACCTCAAACACAATTGAAATTCAATAATTAGGCTCCTGTAAATAAAGATGATATTTTCAGCATAGTTTATATGGGCTATTTTGTCTGGTAACCATGTATGTTATTTTAGATAAACCTTCAAAGTAAAGGTTTATATATGAAATAATAATAAGACATGAATGTTATATTCTACTATCTGTGTGGTTTACTGTTTGCCCTTAACTTGGTAGTGAGCTAATCTTTTCTTTGAAGAAATGAAAATCTGGGTATTAGAAACTGATTGGAGAAATGGTGAGATGAAGGGAGAGCCTTTACATTTTCTAAATGTGAATTCCCATATGTTTACTTCCTGTCAAGATCCTGTTCTCCAAACACTAAGAGTCTTGGCACAGGGCAATGAGCCCAGGTTTTTTTCACTGAATTTATCACCCTTATCTGTGCTACACGTATCACTTTTTCTCCATTCTTCCACCAAAGACGTATCTTTTATCATTAATAGAGCAAAAATGATATGTAGTCTAGATTTCATCTGGGGGCAATGGTAGAAATATGATGTTTTTTTCCTGGAAGAGCAGAGTCAACAAGAGCCTCCTTGTGTTTTTTAAAGGCTGTAGACTTATTAACTGTGCCATTAGTTTTGGAGAACACCTGTTTTAATAAAATTTTTCCAGGGTATATTATTCCTTTATTAAAAATTAAAGTTTTCCAGTTTGCTGTCATATATCAAACACCTTTTGGATGTATGCTAGCAGGGCTGAGTGACCTGAGCACTCTTAAGGTTAAATTTAATTCTTATTAATTCTACAAGACTAGTAACTGTTATAAAAACCCTGATAAACCTCATGTCTTGTTGGCAAGCAGGAGAAAACCTGGACTCCTACATATGACTTTGTATACTTTAAAACGTGATTCCTTGGTTCAGCAGATTGACAATACAGTGCATGTCATAAGAACAATATTATCCATCTTGGATATTGCCCTAAAGTTACTGGCTTGTTCCTGCTGATGGACACCATCACACCAGTGCCCATAAATTCTTGGGCTGTTTTACCAGTTGCACGCTGGTAACAGCACTGACCAGTATGAAAGGAAGGATTTCTCTTCCAAAATCCCACAGCCCATGTGGCCTGAAGGAACAGTGATAGGGTATGTGGTTATCTTTGCCTCCATCACACAGCCTGTTTCATAATCCAGAATGTGTAGGAAAGGAAGCAAGGAGGCATCCCTGAAGTTTTCCAGTGAGTATAGCAGAAATAAATCCCAGCAAATTCCTTAGGTCCCTGCAAATGCAACCAAGGGCACAATGTTTCCTACATGTAATGGGTTACAATAGAAAGGGAAAATCCTTCCTGTGTTGAATAGCTGGAAAAGAGATTAATTAAAGGAGAAGTGAAGATTGGGCTTTCATCCCTGCCCCAATAATTTCAGAGATCTGCTTCTTCCAGTGTTGTGTCAGGAGAATGACCTCACAGTACAAACAGGTGTTTAACCATACGGATTAACCACTGACTGCATGTTTATATGTGTTATGTGCATTGCTGAACAATAAAGCATGTGAAGTGTCTTTTTGCACATCAATCTGACGTTTTTGCTCACAGTAATTTGCTTTAAATTAATGTATGGATTATATGATATCTATTAACAATTATTATTTAATTTGTTCATAACTTCTGATAGCAAAACAGAAAAGTTTTGAAAGCAGCCATGCTAATACAGGAGACAGCTTGCTAATATTTTGTGCTAATATTTCCAATACCAAGTATATATTTTGCCTTTTTATTTTTCAGTTGCTGTGAGCTATTGAGAAGCAAGCATGACATGAATAAGTAGCAAAAAAATGTTTGTAGTTTAAATGTTTGCACACATAAAGTGCCAAGGAACGTGCTACTTATTAGCGAGAGGAAAAATGTTGTAATGTGTTCATCTGGAGGAATCAGAAGAGTGATTCTAAAATTGAAAATACTAAAAATTGGAATAATTTACCAAAAAAAAAAAAGAACAAAATTCCTCTATTGGCAAGAAGTCAAGCAGACACTGCGAGCATTCTTATACTATTATTAATTCCTCTCTGTTTGTTTTATGGAAAAATAAAACTGTCAGCATTAGCTTTCTGACCTGGAGGCCTATTGGCTTAAAAGGTAAGGAATCCTTCTCTCAGGGYTACATCTGTGCTGCTCTTCAGACCGAATTAAGAGATAATTTATAGATAGAGGTAACTTCTTTGTATAAATAGGAAAATATAGAAAAACTTCTGGGCATGTAATTCATTCAAGTGTTAAATATGGGCAATAGACTTCAAAGCTAAATACCAGCTGAGTTTCTCTAGGTTTATTTAGATATTAAATGAGATAATCTGGGGGAAAACAGGTAGGCAGTAGTCATAGGCTGAGGAGGATGCAAATCTTCTGAAGCTCTATTTGTAGACCAAGAGCAAAAAGTAAGAGGTGGAATGGTTATTTTTTGAGAGATGTTCCTGTCCACTACTAAACATTTGTGAAAGTACATTGTAGTGGGTAGTTATGTGTGTTTTCATGGGAGCATTTAGAAGACTGGTAGCAGTTAGACTAATGAGACTTTTGTAGAAATTTATATTAGTGTATGTAACAGTAGGAACACAATATTTGGATGGGTTTGTTAGGAAAAGTGTTGGCTGTGGTGGGGATATTACTGTGGACATGAGAAACTGCAATGTTCAAACCTGTTGTCAAATATCCAAGTCTAGCTGCTCCCTTTTCATTCCAAGTGTCTGACAAGAGGTTCTTGAAAGATAATTTTCAGATATCTTCTTCCTGTTTAGGGTGTAATTTGTAACAGGCTCCCTGTAAATTTTCACATCAGAGCTAATGTTTGGATTGTACCTTTAAAATGGTGATATTTTGCACCTTGCAGAATTAGCTAGTTGCCAGGTCTTGTGCTGACTGCCTGCACCAGGATGAACGTTTCTCCTGGCTGAATGAACAAACACAGCACCCTAACAGTGCTTCAGATGTTGAACTATGCTCATAGAACTTAATGTGGTAAATTGCTAGGCCTAGCCAATGTCAGTATGTACAGATCATTAAAAAGCATCAGAATAGTGAAATCTTCAGACAACGGCAGCAAAACAGATAAACTGTCTTGTGCCACGCTATTTTATGTAGTTGTTCCTGGATTGTATGGTAACTAATAAGTGAGTGTGATCATTCTGTAAATAATCACTTCTTTGCTGTTTACTGCAGTTTTAATGTTTCTTGCAACAGCATTAAAACAGATCTAAATTCAAGTCAAGGAAATAGTTTATGCACATATCTATACCATACTGTGCAGCCTGTGGTGCGCAGTGCAGCTCTTCTGAATTACAGCCCACTGGGCCAAGCTAAGCAGTTCTCTCCTGCAGCGGAACAGCAAATGGAAACCACCCTTAATTCCTAATACTGAAAGTATTAATAGAATAGGATGATCACTATAGAACCAGAAGACTGTGCAAGTGTTCTGTATATCACAGAAATGAAACAAAAACCTTATAGGATATTTTATTTTACGGTGTAAATAAAGGGAAAATATAGAGCTTAGATAAAATGAAAATCAATTCAAAATTAATCCTTAAATCCTACCCAAACTCTGTCCTGCCTCTTACACATAATTGTGAATACCTTAGACATCTGCAGTGCAGTATATTATTAACATGTACAGGTGCGGTTTGGCTTGAGAAAAACAGCATTAAAAAATTCAGTGCCTAAAGCAAACACTAGACACCCTCTGTTTCTTTTTCCGTGTGGTCTCTGAGGCCTTTAGAAACATTGGTTAACTGGCTCTCATCCACGTTTGTGATATACTTATAAACATTTCCCACTTATAACTGTGGAAAACAGCATGATAAGTAACGGAATGAGGGAGCAGCAGAGATGGAAATTGAATGCAGCCCTCGGACCTAGCTGCAGGATTATGATGGAGCTGTGTTAAATAAAAGCATTGTGAGACACCTCAGGTTGAGGAAGCACAGCTAAAACCATTCATTATAGAAAAGGGGATTTGGCTCTGACAGTGTGCTGCAAATGATGAGCTT